AAAAAAAAAAGAAATCAAAAAATCCAATCCCCAGTGTTGGAGGTGGGGCCTAACGGGAGGTATCTGGGTTGTGGGGTCAGATCCCTCATGAAGAGATTAATGCCCTTTCTGGGGGCGAGTTTCGCTCTATTAGTACCTGCTAGAGCTGACTGTTGAAAAGAGCCTGCCATCTTACTCCTCTGGCTCTCTCCTGCTTCTCCTCTCACCATGTGATCTGTGCACAGGCTGCTCCCCTTTGCCTTCCACCATGAGTGAGAGCAGCCTAAGGCCCTCATCAAACGCAGATGCCCAATCTTGAACTTTCTAGTCATTAGAATCGTGAGCCAAACAAGACTTTTTGCTTTACAAATTGCCCAGCTTCAGGTATTCCTTCATAGCAACACAAAATGGATTAGGATGGCATTTATTTTTTATTCTTTATGCCATATACATGTTATAGGTATGTTTATATTTGTTTTTGTAGCATAAAATGTTTTAAGATTTTTTTCAAAATAGGGGGGTGACATTTAAAAATTAGAAGAAAGAAAGGAAACCACTCAGGTCAATGGAAAAGATCAAACTGTCTCATCTTTGGCCCCATTCAACCATGGTTATGATAATGGAGGCGCTCATGCTTCTTTCAAGAGAAGATATTTCTGCTGCACTGGTGCTTTACCCAGAGCATTATATACACATGTGAACAATGCAGGAGACGAGAGGGCCACTGAGGGAAGTGGGGTACCATCACTTATTCCCTGGAATGGAGGAATTGTGAGCAGGTTATAGAGAAGTTTCAGAATGAAGGACACAAATGTTCATATAATCTGGAGGGAAGACAGATTATCCCAAGGGTAGAAGACATTTCTACATACCTGGGCCATGGCTTGTAGAATTATTTGACCTGCTCTGATTTCTCTGGATTCTTCTTTTGGATAAGCAGAGTGCCCTAAAAAAGCAGAATAGGGGAAGAAGGGGTAAACTGCTAACAAACTAAGCTAGTCTCAGCACTCCCAAATAGACAAGCTTGCAACAATTGTACTTCCACTGTCCCTGCTTTGCTTCCCTCACCCTCTCCTTGTCCTATTACAAAAACACTAACTTTAAGAACTACAGAGTTAACAAAACCCAACCTCTTCCTAAACACAAAGGAACCAAAAGCAGCAAGATAGTTTCAAGGCAGATGTGCTCCGGCACTGACATAGAACCCAAGCACCTTAGGAGGGATTAGAGCTGAGACAATCTCCTATCTTGTTGATACTCATCTAAGCCCTAAGTGGGGCCTAGATGGCTCCCACCTGCTCCAAACTGCAGCAAGGAGGATCATAATTCAGACTCACCCACTTTCCCCCTTAGGATAAGAAAAGTACCATCAGGCTAGAATCACAAACAATATAGGCAGGCCAAACCTTGAGTGAAAGACATTCCTAAAAAAGGTCTTCTGGCTTATCTGGGCTCAACAGGCAAAACCTCTTAGGCATCTCACTGGCTCTACTTTCTCCTTCCAAGTCCAAAATGGTACTATACCACTCATACCACAGGCTCTGTCAAAGCCTCCAGCACCAGCCGGACTCACCAGATAGGAACAAGAAAACCCAAGTAGCACAGGATTTTGCATACATATCGGTAAATCCAGAGTACTGACTTCAATGTGAACTCAATTTCTAGAAGCTTCTTGGCTCAGCACTCCTTATTTTCCATCTAAGTCCTCCTGATTGCTTTCCTGCATAACAGCACTTCCTCACTGACTGTGAGGGCTAGCAACTGCTGAATCTAAAGTCCTTTGAATGGCCTGCATCTCAAGATAATGAGAATTCAGGGTTTTAAGGAGGGTAGTAAGGCTGACACTAATTAGAGGTGCAAGAAGCTCCCCACGGTGGGGAGTGGTCAGAAGGAAGATTAATTTAATCAATGGGGGATGACTGAGCGTTTGAAATGTGGCTAGCCATGGCTGAGAAACATATTTTATTTCATCTTAATCTGAATTTAAATTTAATTCACTCCAGAATCTAGAGGCAGATCATGCTGGAGATGACTCAGGGGCTGGCAATAGAGGTGACAGAGCCTGTGGGATGGGTGGTATAGCCCCATTTTGGACTTGGAAGGGCAAGGACCAATAAGCCTCATTATCACTGCAACTAGCACTTGCCACAGTGGCCAGAGGATATAGGCGACTAAATACTGGCTAAATACGTAAGTTAGGTTTTCACCCATTAACAAAATAAAAGGTAACTGAAAAAAAAATTTTTTTTTTTTTTTGAGTTGGAGTCTTACTCTGTCACCCAGACTGGAGTGCAGTGGCCGCTCCCTGCCACTGCAGCCTCGACCTGCTGGGCTCCGGCGATCCTCCCGCCTCAGCCTTCCAAGTAGCTGGAACTACAGGCATGTGCTACCATGCTAATTTTTCTTGATTTATTGTAGAGATGAGGTTTCACCAAGTTGCTCAGGCTGATCTCGAACCCCTGGGCTCAGGCAGTCCCTCACCTCGGCCTCCCAAAATGCTGAGATTATAGACATGAGCCACTGTGTCCAGCCTTAGGTTTTTCACTAAGAATGTGACATATAAGCACAGGCTTAATGGAGTGAGTGAGCAACACAGGTATCTAAGGCAAGCACATTTTCAGCAGAGGGAGTAACAACTGCAAAGGCATCAAAGCAAGACAGGCTTTCCTTGGTCAATAAGTGGAAGGAGACAAGTGTAGCTGGAATGGAATGTGCGAGAAGAGGGTCAAAGAGAAAGCCAGAAGCCAGATCATAAAGGGTTTGTAAGTCACTCTAAGAACTTTGGTTTTTATTCTTTTTTTTTTTTTGAGTTGGAGTCTCACTCTGTCACCCAGACTGGAGTGCAGTGGCACGCTCCCGGCCACCACAGCCTCGACTTGCTGGGCTCCAGTGATCCTTCTGCCTCCGCCTTCCAAGTAGCTGGATCTACAGGCGCGCACCACCACCCCCGGCTAACTTTTGATTTATTGTAGAGATGAGGTCTCGCCAAGTTGCCCAGGCGGGTCTCGAACCCGCGGGCTCAGGCAATTCACTCACCTTGGCCTCCCAAAGCGCTGGGATTACAGGCTGAGCCACCGAGTCCGGCAAAGATGGCATTTTAAAACCCTGAGACCAGATAAGGTCACCCTACAGTGTGAGCGAAGGTAAGAAAGAAAAAGTTCTAAGACCTGAGTCTGGGGTGCTCCGATGGTTAGAGAGCAGAGAGATGAAGGGGAAAGGAGAAAGGGGTCTGAAAAGGAGGTACCAGTGCAACAGAAGGAAAAATAAGAGAACTGGGCTTCATTGGACGCCCAATAAAGTATACCAAGAAAAAAGGTGAGAACAACAGTCAAATGCTAATAGCTTGAGTGAGATGAGGAATGAGAATGGTCCATTGGGTTGGGCATTATAGAGACGATGAGAAATCTTGACAAAAGCATATTCTCTGGAGTGGAGGATATAAGAGCTTGACTGGTATGGGTTCAAAAGAATGGAAGAAAAGGGAGTAGGGATAGAAAGGCTAACTCTTTCAAGGAGTTCTGCTGAAAAGAACACAGAGAAAGAGAGCTAGAGGTGGATATGGGGTCTAGAAGGGTTGTTTTGAATGTGAGAGAAATTACAGCATGCTTTACACGGATGGGAATAACCCAGTAGAGAAAGAATAAAAAGGTAGGGACACAAGAGACAACTGCTGGAACAATAAATGATCTTGAGTTGGAGAAAAGATGAAAAGCAGCACTTAAGTATTGGGGCTGAATTACAGAAGATCATAGATAGTTCACTTCTAGGGAAGGCAGCATATATGGGTACAAAAATTACCCATCCCCACCCGATCCTAGGGTGAGGTCTTGTGGGGCTATCTACACACACGCTCCATTTAGTTTTATTTGTATAACCACCTGTGAGTTACACACTGATTGTAAAAATTGTGATTTTTAAAAATTTATTTTCAAGTGAGAATTAGACAGTTTTTAAAAATACGGGAAGTTTATTCCTCACATAATACAGACGAGGAGCTAGAATGCCTGAGAGGTTATGAGATTCATTCAAGGCAACACTGCTGGTACAATCAGAGATGGAATAATAACCCAAGTGTTCTGTTTTCTTGCTCATGGAAGTTTCCATCTATGTAAACTGCCACCCTCTGCTTGCTGCCATTAATGATGTGGAACGAACAATAAATCAATACCAGGACAGAAAGGGGACAATTGAGAAAGTCAGGGGCTATAAGGCGAAGGTTACTGGGACCTTTTGAAAGCACTCTGCCACTAGAGACAGTTCAGATAATACTTTCTTCCATGAATTATTAAATAAGAAAGTACTGCATGTGTTAGAAATCAGGGAAAAGGCCTGAGACATCTCAGAATACAGAGGAAAAGACACAGAAGAAATTAATTCTGAAAATAAGTATCAGAGAAATGAAAGAGAGAGCCAATGATCTCAAATGTATATAAAAGTGGAGAATAAAATAGACTAGCTGGAGAAGAAATGAATAAAAGAATATTAATCAGATGAAAGAAAACACTTGAATCTTTACATTGAAAAGAATCTCTGTGCCGGGCTCGGTGGCTCAGCCTGTAATCCCGTGCTTTGGGAGGCTGAGTGGATTGCCTGAGGCCGCGGGTTCGAGACCCGCCTGGGCAACTTGGTGAGACCTCATCTCTACAATAAATCAAAAAGTTAGCCGGGC